TGGCATGGTTGTTGGTGCCAGAAGGGCTGGTCTGAGTATTTCAGAAACTGAGCCTGATTTGCCGACAAATCTGCGGCAACTGTGTGATGCCATCATGTCAATATGGACCAAAATCTCTGAGGAATGCTTCCAGCACCTTGTTGAATCTATGCCACGAAGAACTGAGGCAGTTCTGAAGGCAAAAGGGGTCCAACCCGTTACTAGTGTGGTGTACCTAATAAAGTGGCCGGTGAGTGTATATAAAATACAATGTTTTCCTCAGTGGAAAATAGTCCAGGAAATGCTGAGAGCTTTCCTGGCAGGTTCACCTGAGCTGAGGCTCACCCTCCACCCACAGAGAAAGGAAAAAAAGGCAGCAGTGTCAGTCAGACGGCACGACCCGCCCAGCTCTGTTCTGATTGGGTAAAACTTTACTGTGGTTCTCTTTATTGGATGAAAGAACCGTCAGTTTAATCCCTAGACGGCTTTAACAAGTTTTTTCCCCCCATTCGTTTTTACAGTGACGAACACCAACAAACTTTAATCTAGGTCTTTTTTTCTTGGTTGTACACCGGACAGACGGGAGGTGGGATCTGGTTGTCCGAAACGAAAATAGGTTGTCTCGGACAACCTAAACAATGGTTATGTCGACCCCTATAAATAGTATAATAACCTCCTTTTATTGATGCCCTAAATATCAGCTGATTTTTCTGGTATGATGGAATATCGTGGTCAAAAATAGAGATGTCCCGATACCAATTTTTCTTAAACTGAGTACTTCAGTTTTAGTACTCGGTGATATAGAATACTTACCGAGTTAGAACTTAAATATTGATAATTATAAAAAACAAATTTATTTTAATTAAAATCTTGTACTAAATCAGATTAGGGTTGGCCAGAATCTAGTGTGCACTTAATTGTCAAAAAAACAACAACTTGTCAACAATTAATATTTTCTACTTCGCAATTCAAGCAGTTAGTGCCATGATAACATGTTTTGTGCGACACACTCTATCAAGCGTGGGTCTGTGGCATATTTTTACCACTCCACGTTGTGGAAAAGTTGGGTTTCAATTCACAACCTACTAATTTAACTTAGGAAAATGAAGAAGTTAGTTTGACTGATGATTTGTGAGTATAATATTTAAACGCAGTGTAACTGATTTAGATTCAAAACATGCAAGTGCAATTGTCATTTATTAATCGTCATAATAATTATTGACTAAATGCCACAATTAATTGTGATTATTTTTTTTGTCCAACCCTAAATCATATACAAATTTGATGTTTTTCAAAGCAACTGCAGTCTGAATTTTCATGTCTCGTTTTCTGTTCAACTTTTACGTCATTGAGGTTGGGGTACACAGATCGATCCAAGTCGTAATAATGATACTAACTTCGAGTTGAGCAGTTTAAATCTTGTAGCTCCACACGTCTTCAGCTACAGAACTAGATGCTTTGTTTTTTTCTTTTAGTTTTCCATGTCCTGGACGACTGAGAATCCACAGCAACATTCAATTGTACAATTGTTGGAGTGTGTCCGTGCTAAAGTTACTGGATTGATTCTAGTTAGTTTTACTCCAGGCACGTTGCATCGTTCCATAAATGCACGCTGCACTGGAGCAAATGATTAGAGGCAGTTAACATGTAAATGATGAACTAAACAAGCATGTCAGATAATTATTTAACCAGCTCTGATTACTCAAAAACTTCAGAATCGACATGCTAACATTTAGCATCCATGGGTAGAAATGCCAATTGGTTTACTTTGAAAGTTAATTTTCTTTACCTTGAAGTGCAAACGATTAACATTAAGTACTATTCAGAAGACTGTGATGTGATTTTAAGAAGAATATATGCATCAAGATGCATTCATAACCACACTGTCAAACACTAGCTGCATTTCCACTGCAAATGTGCGCAAAACTTTGTCGATATTCTGGTAATGTAGAAAATTACAGTTTCGCAACTGCAGTGCTTCCATTAAGTAAGAAATGCTATTAAAGTCACGCGTGAATACGTTTGTTCTCGCGATAAATCATTACAAACATGGCGGCGATGGATGTAAACACATAGCATGTTGCTACCACGACACTAGCGCTTATCATCAGAGGAGACATTGGCGTCTTTTATCGAGACTTTCCAGAGACAAGTCCCTACTTGGGAGCGGCTACGTATGCTGTGTTTTTGGGAAAATGTAGTCAGTGAGTTTCCTACTTTCTTTTACTACTTCGGTGATTTTACTACTACTTTTACTTCCTGTTATCTTCTTCGTCATTGAGCAAATTTATTTTCAAAATTCTAATTTGCGCATTTTCATGGTCAATGGAAACACAGCTAGTGGCTTTCAATGCTGAAGGTGATGTTTATTTGCTTAAAGGGCCACTACACTTCAACTGTTAGAAACTTTTGCAGGACGTTATTGTCAGTAAATAATAATTAATGTTTGACATTTCAGAATAGTTCATGTCTACTTTGTGATGCGCTGAAACCCCCTGTTTTCCAAAAGGCCAATGTTGAAAGACATTGGTTTTAAGTTCTATAACACCTGTTGTTTTTTTAATTATTATTTTAGTTTGAATTAACACCAATTACATTTGTGGTAATTACTCCATTTACTCCTCTGCTCGTCTGGCTAGACGTTTGTATTTCTGAATAATCTGAGTTGTCTGGGGTGTGGCTCTCAGCTGCTCTCCCACATGTTGGATAAAATCACCCATTCCTGTTCTCACTGAGAGGAAGTAAAGACTCTCCCAGACAAGCATTATGTTGTTTGGGTAACTTACTTTTTTTCTTAACAGAGCAGAAGAAGAGACAGTGCAAGGTGGTGTTTGAGTATCAACCATTAAACAAAGATGAACTGGAGCTGAAACTTGGAGACATTATAGACATCACAGAAGAGGTATTTTAAATTTTTGACTTCTGTTAAGAGTTCGCAACTAATTAGTTTTTAATGACAATATGGAATTTCTTGCTAAAAGCTGAACTTTGAAAGCACCAACAGGATTGTCACCATTTTCTTGAGCATTTTCACTTTACTTGCGTTTTAGTGCAATGCATTTACTAAAATGTTTAAAGCTTGTGTTTATTTAAACCAAAGACTGTTTGCCGTGTGTTTTTTTAGCAAGTCAGAGCCTGCAGAAAATAAGCAAGACAAAAGGCCCATCCCTTTGTGGAATCAAACTTGTTCACATGCAGCCACACGATCTTCAGGTTTGAGAAATGAGGGGCAGACAAAAAGCTTGTTTTGTTTCTTTTGCAGGTGGAAGACGGCTGGTGGAGCGGCACAGTGAACGGCAAATCCGGACTCTTTCCGTCCAATTTTGTTGAAGAGCTGGAGGCTTCAGGAGAGGAACCAGAGCTCAACAACACGCCGGCTAATGTGACTGGTAACAGCAGCTTTGCAAAGACTGCAGCTCAATCATATCATGAGAGAAACCGTGACAGGTAGGAGTTTTCTACTAATGAGGTTCTAGTGCTAACCCAGGGCTGGCACTATGGAGCTGGGGATATTAAAAAAGCCAAACAAATTTAAAACTAGATCTTTAGACAGTGCAGGAAGATGAGGGACAGGGATGAGATGTTATCCCACTGCTAATTGAACCTCCTACTTGTGTTGAATGGTATTTTCTCTTAAAATAAGCAAAGTAAAAGTGCAACTAACTAACTAAAGAAACATGACACTCCCAATGTTTTAATTAGTTGTTGTGTCATGAGCCTACTCTCACTTCCCTACAAAAGTATTTCTTTGGTCTGACCCATGAATGGATTGGTTCTAAGTTAACAGTTTTTTCAGAGGCAAAGCTTCCAGGAGAGGAAACAAAAATAAATGGTGCTATCTTGATTTTAAAAACACTTAGACAGGCAGAGTTTGCAAAAAAATAAAAATAAAATAAAAAAAACCCATAACCCTATAAAAATACCTTTGTAATGTAAAAGTGGCAACGGTGTCAAGGTTTATCCAATAGTATTTGCATAAAGACTGCAGCAATTCACTTGGGGGGGGGGTGCTTGCAAACCTTAGTTTCGTGAGTGAGTGGGCAGTAGGTGTTGTTGAAAAAAGCAGCCGGACTGGAAAAGCACTGCTAGTAAAAAAAAAAAACTGGGACCTGTCACTGGATGTGCCTATGTTTTTTTAATGCAGAGGTTGTCACAATCTTAAAATATACCAATTTTAACTGAACTTTATGTATTTGATAATCACTGCCAATCCCTAGTTTGCAAACATTTTGATATTTAGGACTTTTGCTTTTTTCACCCTTTTTTTTTTTTTTTTTTTTTAGAAATTACTTCCTGCATCGTTGGGATTTAAACTTGTGGTGAATATACAGT